AGAGGGGTGGGAGGTGAGGTGAGGTTCCTGCGCGAGGTGTCCAGAGAAAACAAGAACCCTACTTTGGATGTGGGGAAAAAACGCCTACATCCGCAAAACAAGCGAACGGCTGAAGACATCCCCACAATCTGGGCAAACACTGGTAAGTGACCCATCCCCTGGCGGCACCCCCTTGGCCCTTGTGATGCCCAAGTGCTACGCCTGTCACATCGCGATCATTCCGATCGTGAGATGGAGAAGGAAAAAGGATGGAATGACCAGGCTGACGCGACACGGATGAACATAATACACGACGTAGACGATGCGCGCAACAACCTGCACAATAATCTGTTATGACCGTCGGACCCTCACTCCACACGCGTTCGACAAACACTGGTGGCAATCAAACTGGCCCAATCTGCTGGGACATCGCTGCGATGTTGACTTTCTTCAAACGTGCCTTCCATTCGCCCATGTCGTCGAGCCCCACCACCTGAACCAAACAAGCCGATTTCAGCTGAGACATCCTCACGGTTCGCTCTTACACTGACCACGGCGTGCAGGTGACGCTGACGGTGGGCTGCCCGCGCCGAGGCGAGCTCGGGAGCGGCCGAGAGGGGGGTGTCCAAGAGGGGGGGGTGCAAATCATGACCGGCGGCATGTGCGCGGCCCAGCGGGGGGGCCAGGGACGTCATGGAATGAGAAGAGGCGCCATGAAATCTGAGGAAATATCATGGCCCCCGCCATGATAGCCAACCCCCCCCTAGTCATCACCCCCCTCTTTTCCGCCCCCGAGCGAGAGCGCCGTTTGGGCGGACTTCTGGCCATTGCACGGCAGTTCGGCCCGGTGTTCCCGAGGGCTCCCAAACTGAAGACGACGTCGACGCCTGCGGCGCCGCGGGCGCGCAGAAAACGGCGCCCGCGAAGCCGCGGCGAGGCCCGAGCCGAGCCCGAACCCGAACCCGAGGCCGGGCGGCAGCCCGCGCCGCAGCCCGAGCTCTCGAGCCCGGGCTCCGGCCGAGGACCTCGCGCCGTCCTCCGGGGCGGTCCACGGCTCTGAGAGGGCCTTCTCTCTTTCTCGCTCCCCCGCCTCGCTCGAAGCTGACAATTGAGCAGGGACCCACCGTCCCGGCAGTCCTGTAGTCCTACCACGAAAAGTTCTTAGAACCCAAGAACGTTCTCATAACAAAAACAATCTTCTCTGAACATAAAGCCCGATGTGGTAAAACAAGACAATCTCCGCCAGCACTGCTTGAAGAACATTTCGTGGAAACCGCAAAAGGTCCTTAGAACATTGTTTGGTAGGGCTATAGTCGGGGATGGACAGACCCCCCTTTAGTAAAACGTGGTTTAGTGAAAACGACCTGAGGCCCAAATCTGGCGGGCGCAAGCCTGGAAAATAACGGCCGCGGCGCCCTCTCGAGAGCCGAAAACGGACAATTCACTAATCGACGTGTCACTGTTGGGGGTTCTGTCCGCCCCCGATATAGGCGAGCCCGGACGCTTCGCCATCTGCTCGAGACCAGGGCGGCGGGGGCGCCCGGCCGTTGCCCGGGCGCCCCCGGCGCCCGCGCCCTCCGCAGCCTCGCGGGGGCGGCCGCCGCGGGACGGCGGCTCGACGGCGGCGGGCGGCGGCCCAGCAGGCCGCGGAGGCGGCGGCGGCTCGGGGTCCCGAGGTGCGGGCGCGATACCGGCCATCGCTCGGACGTCCATTCCCTGCGTTTTTGTTCGGTTTTTCGTGCGTGGCTTCTCCGCCAAAGGATCAAGGCTGCTCCTCGATGGTCCTCGGCGAAGGAGAAATGCACACGTCCGAGCGATGCCGAGCGATGGGCGGCGTCGCCGCGGCCGCCGAGGGCCGCGGCGGGTCGGAGGCGCGGCGTCGCGGAGGGCCGCGATGCGACGGCGGCGGCGGCGGCGGCGAGGGTCGAGGTTCCGGGCACGCCGTGGCTCTCCGAGGCTTCTGGTGGCAAGAGGTGGGATCTAGGAGCATGCCCCTGTTGCATTCGCGGCGCCATGTTGCGTCACATCTCTGCTGCCGCGCGCCTCCTGGTGCCGGCCGTTTTTGCCCTGGGTGCTCACAGGCCTCCAACCCGACGGCATGGAAGTCGCTCCCGCAGGTAGTTCCTTGGGCAGGACTTGCATGCGTTGGCCTCGACACTGCGGGGATGGAGGAGCCAGGAGCCAGGAGCCAAAGCGTATTATTTTCCTGATGGGCCCATCGGACCTCCCCTCTGGAGACTCCTGGAGATCTCGGGACTCTTGTTGGGCCTTTTTGGACATCCCCTCCAGAGACTCGGGTCGGGCGAAAGGGGGGGATAGCAAACGGGGGGTTTGAGAACCAGCCCACGTAGCTGATTTTCCCGGCGCCTCCCGGCGCCGGAGGCGGCTATGTATCGAGGAATGCGCCCCTCGGTGAGGCCGAAACCAGCTGCATTCAGCAGATTTCGTAACCCCCCCTTTCCCAATCCCCCCCTTTCGCCCGGCCCGAGAGACTCCTGGAGATCTCGGGACTCTTGTTGGGCCTTTTTGGACAGCCCCTCCAGAGACGCTGGCTGTGCTTGGCGCTCCTGGGCCTGGTCCGGCTGCCTGGGGCGCCCTCGCCCTCACGGCTAGAGCCGCCCCGGAGATCTGGCCACAACCCATCGCGGGGGAGGGGGGGCGGCCTGGCGGCCGTCGCCAGGGAGGAACAGGAGACTCCTAAGCCTACACCTCCTCTTCCTCTTCTTTCCCCCCACCCTTGGTTTCGGATCCCGCGAGCGGCCCGACACGCTCGCAGCTCGAGTGTGCGTCTTTGTGTGTGTGTGTGTGCGTGTGTGTGTGTGTGTGTGTCTATGTGTGCGTGTCTATGTGTGCGTGTCTGTGTGTGCATGCCTGGGCGGCAGGCAGAGTTTGAATCCCCCCAGCTCGTTTCGAGCCTTCTGCGCGGAGGGCGGTGGCCTGCCCAGGCGGCGGTGGGCCCCCTGAACCCCTGCCCCGTCGTGCCCCAGAGCTCTGACGGGCGCGTGCTGCGCGCTATGCTGTCGTGCCGTGGCTGCCGCCGCGTGCCCCGCACCGCCGGCGCACAGTGCTCGGTCCCCGCAGCGTGCCCGCCTCAGGCCCTGGCGCCCCCGAAAACGAGAACGACGTTTTTTTTGTTTTTCCGAACTCGCCCCGCAGGGCTGCTCTGTCCACGCCCGGGGCTGTCCAGTAGACGCCAGCTGTGGGGGTCGGGGTGGCGTTCTGGGGGCGTCCCAGAGCGGGGTTCGCAAATCGTGGCCACATGCGCGTGCGCGGCCCACGGGGGGGGGGCAAGGGATGCATGGACAAGAAAAGTGGATGAGGCCATGAAATCCGGGAAGATCTCGTGGCCCCAGCCGTGGTATCCATCCGCGCCCCCAGTCACCCCTGCCCCCTCGTGGACGCCCGCGAGCTTCGCACCCCTTGATAGAGAGGGGGGCCGTCGCCGAGGCGACAGAGCTGCTACTGTGCCCAGGCGGCGACGGCCTCTCTCTCTCTATTTCCCTCTTTCACTTCCCCTCTTTTTTTTTGTTTCTTTCTCTCTCTCTCTCTCTCTCTCTCTCTATATATATATATATCGTTCCCTTCCTCCCTCTGAGCGTCTAGGAGGAGGCGGGGGCGGCTGGAAGCGACCCTGAAAAGACAGAGAGCGTCATCAGAAACGTCGTCGGCATCTATGCCATCCGCCAGTCCAGTCTGTCGGTAGCGATGTGGTCACGCACTTTTTTCAGCGTCTTCGATCACGACACAAAATGGGGCAGCAGGTCTTGCCGCCTTGCTCCTTACAGGCCGAGCACCAACATGCGAGAGAGCAGAATCACCGAAAGGCAACCATAAATAACGGCTGTTCGCCGTAAGCATTCATGAAGTACCAGGTGACATCTGGACGAGAGCGACAGGCAACTGTACATTGTTTAGATGACAAGAAATTGAACTAGAAAGCCCTCCAGCTGCGCTCGACAAATCTGGGCAGGGCATATTAGGCCTGGGAGCATGTATTTTGTGTGTCGTGCGGAAGAGAAAGCTAGCGGCGCATGGGAGAATCGCCGACGGCGGGGGCGGGCATGGCGCAGCGGTCGGTGTGTGTGTGTGTGTGCGTGGTGTGGCGAGCCTGCGGCAGAAGAGAGCCATCTCTGGCACTTGCAAAGGCCTGAGCGCTGGGCAGAGCCCCGTGCAAATCCCTGCCACTACTGCGTACTCTTGAGCCACGAGTAGTGCCCTGGTCCCGCGAGGCGCAGGCTGGTCACCGACGCGCCCATGCCACGGTGCTCGTCGTACATCTGCCTCACGTGCGCCCACGCGTGCGGCATCGCGGCCAGCTGTTCCTCCTCAGTGAGGTGCTTGAAGCCCTGCACAGTGCGGCCGGTGGAGAGGCACGTGAAGGGCGTGGACATTTCCCACTCGTTGAGCGTGTAGTCGAAGGTCAGGGGCTCGCCCACCACCAAGTCCTTGGCGGCGTACACAGCCACGCAGCCGACCGAGGGGTCGATGTGGCGGTGCTCCACGGGTCGCAGGTACACGGTAGCCTCGGTGTGGAAGGCGTGGTTCATGAACACCCAAATGCCGTCTCCGCTCCCCTTCACGTCCGACGCATCTGTGAAGGCGTCGTCGCCCTGGCTGGGGACCGCGGTCAGGTGCTCGGTCGTGCTGTACTGCAGGCTGTGGCGGTTGCGCGTGCCCGTCAGCGGCGACTTGAAGGTGTAGAGCAGCTCGTGCCGCGAGCACCGCACGTTGCTGAGCATGGCCGTCTCCAGCTTGCCGGCGCTCTCCTCCAGGACCACGCGCGGGGACGCCGCGCTGGCCGCGCGCGCCGAGGGCGCGGCGCCGCCGCGGGCGAGGGCGCGGCGCAGGAGGGCTGCCATGCTCTTCGTTGACGCTTGCTCCGGCGGCACGCCCCGCCTCCAGCGGGTGTGATCGACGGACCGTCGGGGTCCCCCCAAGGCAAAGCAGCAAAAACAGCAAGCAACAAAACTGAACCCACGAGAGAGCTTGAACCAGAATTGCCACGGAATGTTGTCACGTTCTCTTTCGGAATAGTTCCACAGTCCGCAGGGGAAAAGAAAGAGGACAGACGGATGGGAGGAAGACCCCGCAATAACCTGATTGGCAGTTCCCTGTGCTGCTGCCGCAAACTTCTGCTTCAAGCAATCGGCTTCAGCCAGTCTGATGACGGGTTGGAGTCCCCGGGGATTGGAGATGGCAAAGTTGCGATGCTGCGAGAACAACGGATCCTGTTGACCAAAGCGCCTGACATCCACCAAGATGTTTGAAACATCTGGGCCATACGTTTCGGCATCACAGTGACCCGCCCAAGCGGCAACAACTCCTAGACGAACAGGCAGACACAACTGTGGCGTGAGGGTCCGAAAGACATCAATGAGAGACGTACTCAAAACACCTGGAATGCACTCATTCAAACATATCGAACTGATTACAGCGAGGGCTTCCAACATCACGACATGCAATACCGGCAACAAAAACGAGTACGGGCATCTGAGCGATACACGTAACTGTTTAAAGAAGAATTCCGGCGGTATTCGAGATCCTTCGCTTCATTACTCCATACACTCTCTCCGTATCTCTCTATCTGTCTTTCTTTCTTTCTCTCTCTCTCTCTCTCCCTCTCCCGTTCGACCACGTGCGCTATCCCGCTCGGCAACATGCGACTCACTGCGCGCAACGCCAGGAACGCGCACCGCACGACTCCTCGCTACCGTGGATGCCACTTGACCGCACTGCTGCGCTACACGCATGCGTGAAGGGCCTTCGCACTTGCGGCGCTGGCTGCCGCAACAAATTGCCTCGGCGCAGTGCACCCCAAAATGCAAGCACATAGACAAACCGAGGGAGACGGATACGTAGCCTTTTTGGATCAAAAAAGGGCATCGTGTACATGCAATTGAACACGTAACTCCAACAATTCCATGCCTTCAGAAACCACCGACACCAACATTCGCATTGATTTCATAACGTTGGTAGTCCTTTCTAGCCGCAATACACGAAATTGTACTCTGGAGGCCCCAGCTCAGAAGAGTAGGCCGCCTGGATGCTGTTCGAGACGCTGAGGGTATGAGGGAGGGCGAGGTATAAGAAGAGGGATAGAGCATGAGGGATGGAGGACGAGATGGACTGTCCTGCTCATACTCGAGGGCTCGACAGAAGGACCAGAAAGCGTTTTGAGACGTCGCCCCCCTGAATAGATTCACGTATATGACAATCATAACAGCAGACATGGGAAAAGAGGGGGCGAGATCGCAATGGAACGGACAGCCCCGCACCGTGAAAGCAGTTTCAGTTCCTTGTTCGTGTCGTGCGTGCGGGCGGGGCAAAGCTGCTTGGTCGGGCGCGAGGGATGAACCCTCCTCTAGCTAGGGCGCCGCCAGGGCTGAAGTCGGCCGGCCCCCCACCGGCTGGTGGGCGGGTGCCAGGGGTGTCTCGCCGTGGTGTCTCGCCGTGGTGTCCCGATGGTGTCCCGATGGTGTCCCGTGGTGTCCCGTGGTGGCCCGTGGTGGCCCATGGGGTCCCGTCGCTGTCCCGTCGGTGGTGTCCCGTCGGTGGTGCCCCGCCAGTGTCCCGTAGTGAGATCGATCTTGAGATTTGAAGGTAAGATCGGTAGTGATATCGATGGTGAAACCGATCATGGGATAGATGGTGCGATCGACAGTGAGATCGATAGCAAGGTCGGTGATGAGATCGATAGTGAGCTCGATAGAGATATCGATAGTGATATCGATCGTGAGATCGAAAATGAGAGCGATTGTGAGATCGATAGTGTCATCGATAGTGGCCCGAATGGTGAGATCGATTGTGCGATCGAGTGTGCGAATCATTGTGAGACCGATAATGAGGTCGATAGTGAGATCGATCAAGCGAGACGTTGGTTCCTTCCCCCGAACCTTCGTTTCACCCGAAAAGTGGTCGCATCGGGACACTTGTTCACATACCGTGAGACCCGCCACCGTGCCTCGAGGCGCGAGTCGAAGTAACCTCAAGTCAAGTCCGAGCCCTCCGCCCTCAGACCTGAGGATTGAGCATGTGGTGGGGGGGCGAACAATTACAGAAACATAAAACTCGGAGGTCCGCGTGGATTTCTCGGGTCGGCGCTGGACCCCCCTCCCCTGGCGCGCGGAGCGCGCCAGGGGCGGCGCCGGAGGCGCCGTCAAGGGGCTCAAGCGCGGATCCGAGAAATCCGCGCGGACGTCCGAGTTTTTATGTTATGTCATTGCCCGTTCCCCTATGAATATGCAGGGGCCAGATTCCACTTTCATAACTTCTCGAGGACGTGGCGCGTACCTTCTGGGCCTTGCGTCCAGGCCTCAAGAAGGCCCGAGGGCCGAGAGGGCCCCAAGAGACGGCCAAAGAGAGGCCCCCAATCACGGCCCCAAAGAGACCTCCAAGACGGCACTCTTGAAGCGTCCCAAGATGGCCCAACGACAGCCCAGAGGCCACCAAGACAGGCTCCCCCCAAGGGTTCCCAGGGAGCACATAATTAGTCCAATAGACTTTCCATGATTTGACCCCACGTTCGGCCACATAGGCGTTTCCAAAAGACAGCGGGCGTTGTACGTGCCTGCGGCGAGGAATGGCGACGGCGACGTCGACGGGCTGCGGCGGCGCCGTCAGCGCGATCGGTCGGCCCTCGAGCAACAGCGGTGTGGCGACGACGACGAGCCGTAGCGGTCCCCTCCAAGGGTCAGTCCGGGACGGCCTTCCAACCTGGACAGATTTCTGACGCCCCATGGTCCGTCTGGTGACCCGGCGAAATCAGTCCCTCCCGGCGTGGGCAAGGCTGCAATGCCAAAAAGAGGCCCTCAAGGGGTACCTTTCGGCAAATTTCCAACGGACCCGTTAGTGAGTACCCGTTATGGTGAGGATCTCACTGTCGCTCGCAGAAGCGTGCGCCAGGACACTGGAAAGGAACAGGGTTCTGTCCTTCACAGACCCATTCTGTGAAGGGGCACGCCGCGAACCTCTTCACACACGTCGCTGTTGCCCCCAAAATCGCGCGCCCGCGCGTGAGCACATGATGCCGCCAACATCCAAACAAAAATTATTCACTGCGTGGAGCTCCCCATATGTGCATCTACTCGCATGGACCTGTCCGCCGTGAATGTCTAGGCGCAAGAGCTTTCGAATATTAACGGGCTTCAGTTGTGACGGTCTGGACATCAATCTAACTGCGAATGAATTGGAGTGTGAATGAGCCTCAGTAGTACGAGCGCGTCTCTGTGCATGAGCCTGGGGCCTCCTGGGGCCTCCTGAAACCTACTGGGGCTTCCTGGGGTCTCCAGGAGCCTCTTGGGACCTCCTGGGACCTCCTAGGAAGGTTTCGTGCCCCAGGAGAGGCGCAATCTATAGCAACAGACGTACATAAAACATTGCGGATTAGAGCCACAGGAGAAGGGCAATCTATAGGAACACGCGTAAAACACCAAGGACTCGTGCCCCAGGAGAGGCCCAATACATAGGAACATGAGTAAAACATTTAGGATTGTGTACACAGGAGAAGGACCATCTATAGAAACATACGTAGAACATCAAAGAATCGTGCTCCAGGTGAGGCCCAATCGATAGGAGCATACGTAAAACACATGGGATTGGAGCCACTCCTGTTGCCTTCTGAGGCCTCCTGCTCCTGGGGCCTCTCGGGGCCTCCTGTTGCCTTCCGAGGCCTCCTGGCGCTTCCTGTTGCCTCCTGGGGCCTCCTGTGGTTTCCTGAGGCCTTCTGGAGCTTCCTGGGGCCTCCTGGAGCCTCTTGGGACATCCTGTGGCATCTTGAGTCTTTCTGTGGCCTCCTGATGCCTCCTGGGACCTCATGTGGTCTCCTGGGGCCTCCTGGAGCCTGTTGGAGCCTCCTGTGGCATCCTGAGAAGAATCTGCGCCCACGAGCCTGGCCACCAAAACAAGCAAACCGATCGAGACATCCTCAAAATCTGGCCCACCTGGGGGGTGAAAATGAGCGCCTCGCTCGAGACATCCTCCAAATCTGCTCCGAAAGCGAAGGATGTTGGGCCCAGAAACAGGCAAACCGCCTGAGACATCCCCACAAAATGGCCGCGAACGAGCCCGTGCAAACACCCCTGGCGGCTCCCCTTAGGGGTGCTGAAATGAGCGCCTCGCTCGAGACATCCTCCAAATCTGTGTATGCATAAGTTTGTGTAAGAGTAAGTCTGTGTATGAGTATGTCTGAGTGTGAGTAAGTCTGAGTATGAGTAGGTCTGAGTATGAGTAAGTCTGAGTATGAGTAAGTCTGTGTATGAGCAAGTCTGAGTATGTCCGACAGGAGGGGAGGAGAAAAGAGGAGGAGGGAGGAGGAGGAGTAGGAGGCGTCCAAATAATAACAAGACCCCCATCTTAGGATATGGGGAACAAGAACCCCATCTTAGGATATGGGGAATAACATATAACATGTTGTTATCAAACAAATGTGCCGTTATCTGATACAATAGCGCATGATCCGAAACGGGCCGCCAGATGCGGGAAGTGACGAACAGTGTGTCCCCAGAGGAAGAGCCAGCTGCAGAGCAGCAAGCTCTCGGAGGTCCGCACGGACTTCCTCGGCTGGCGCTGGCCCCCCCCCCCTCCCGGGGGCGTCCAACATCCGCGCGCACCTCGAAGGGTGATGTCTGTGCAGTTAATGATTTGCTGCGCTCGTCGAGTGTACCCGCCGCAATCCTTGACCCTCTCCCTAACGAGGGCAGCGAGCCACAGACGCATCCTGGGGTGTGCTCCAGCCAAAAAAATCGGAGACGCACCTGGCCGCGGCGACGGGGGCGCTCCAGGAGGCCCAGAAAGCTCTCCAAACCGAAGCCGTTCCAACCACTCGAACCCAACGATGCAAGGTCATGAATCCCCGATTCGGCCTGCCTGGGGTGGACAGTTTCCCCCAGGGCCGTAGGCGACCCGAGGAGAGGAGGGCGAGGAGGAGGAGGAGGAGGGGGAGGAGGAAATGGAGGAGGAGGAGGAGGAGGAGGAGATGGCGGAGGAGGGGGAGGAGGAGGGAGGAGGAGGAGGACGAGGAGAAGGGGAGGAGGAGGAGGAGGAGGAGGAGGAGGAAGAGGAGGAGGAGGCGGAGGAAGAGGAGGAGGAGGAGGGAGGAGGAGGAGGAGGAGGAGGAGGAGGAGGAGGAGGAAGAGGAGGAGGAGGAGGAGGAGGAGGGAGGAGGGAGGAGGAGGAGGAGGTGGAGGAGGTGGAGGAGGTGGGGGGAGGAGAGGGGAGGAGGAGGAGGAGGAGGAGGAGGAGGAGGAGGAGGAGGAGGAGGAGGAGGAGGAGGAGGAGGAGGAGGAGGAGGAGGGGGAGGGGGAGGAGGAGGAGGAGGAGGAGGAGGAGGAGGAGGAGGGGAGGAGGAGGAGGGAGGTGGAGGAGGAGGAGGAGGAGGAGGAGGAGGAGGAGGAGG